AGCAAACCCAGTGTTTCAGGTAACAAATGTGGAGTTTGGCTTATGTAAACACTACACACCCCTCCATTTCTGTGTATCAGTCAAGAGGAATATTCACGCGTGAGCCAAGGAGACATGTTCAAAATGTCTACAGCATTTTGCAGCTGTCTAAACCTGGAAACAATCTAAATGTCTATCAGTAGAAAAACATTAAAGGCATCATAACACACCTGTTTCACTCCCCTCTTGGCCTAATCATAACGAGTGTCATGACTTGACGCACCCTTGTGATTGTAAGGCAGCCTTCAGCAAAGATCGTTAGAAAACTTCAGGGGGGTGTGTTTACTACTCACATGTGTTGGAATTTTCACATGGCATACCTGGGGCGACACAGTGAGGTGTGGACACATGGGGGCGGCGAGGGGACACTGAGGATGGGGAGGGCAGGCGGACGGGGCTCTGCTTTTATCAGGGTTGAGTATGGCAGCCTAGCGAACGGAAAACCTAAGCACTCATCCTCCAGAAGAAAACGATCTGACATCTGTGCATTCACTCCTACTGCTCCTGTCCACACAATACCACTTTAAAAGTAAAAATGAGATATAAGAAACAGTAGGCAGAATAACAGCTCCCAAAGATGGTCATGCCCTAATCCCCAAAGCGGCAAGTTACCTTAGACGACAAAGGGGTCTCTGCAGACGCGGCCAAGTTAAGAGCCCTGAGATGGGGAGACTGTCCTGGAGTACCTGGAAGGCCCGAGTAATCAGAAAGACCCGTAACAGAGAAGCAGACGAGGAAAATCAGAGAGGAAGGGCAACAATGGGAGCAGCAGCTGGTGTTGCCGCGCCTGGAAGGTGGAGAAAGGCAGCCTCCAGGAGCTGGAAAAGGCCAAGCCCGAGGTTCTCCCCTGGACCTTCGAGAAGGAATCCGCCTGTGGATACCTTGATTTTAACACCCTAAGGCCCATTTCAGACTTCTGACCAAGGCAAGAGGGTAGATGCTCCCCTTCCGTCCCCAGGGTAAAGCAATTGGAGATTCATTCCCTGTGGAGGAAACTTGAAGACAAGAATAACAAGACAATTAAGGGAGGAGGCTGAGCCCTGCCTAAACAACGTACTTCTCATTCTTGAAGCCAAAAGACCTCCCCTAACACAAACAGAAAGGCTCCTTGGAGGCCAAAGGGGAATGATGCTAAGCTACCACAGGGCTCTGTGGTAGACCCTGTCTTGGCTAACAGCTTCATGGGCACAAATGGGAGGGCCTGTGACATACCAAACATGAGCACGGCAAGGCCGCACACTGTCACCCTGCTTATTTAGCTTATATGCAGAGTGCCTCATGTGAAATGCCAGGCTGGAGAAAGCACAGGCAGAAATCAAGATTGCTGGGAGAAATACCAACAACCTCAGATATGCAGATGATACCGCTCTAATGGCAGAAAATGAGAGAAACCAAAGAGCCTCTTGCTGGTCAAAGAGGAGAGTGAAAAAGCTGACTTAAAACTCAACTTTCAAAACAACTACAATCATGGCATCCGGTCCCATCACTTCATGGCAAATAGAGGGAAAAAGTGGAAACAGTGACATATTTCCTTTCCTTCGGCTCCAAAATTACTGCGAAGACTGCAGCCACAAAATTAAAAGATACTTGCTCTTTGGAAGGAAAGTTATGACAAACCTAGACAGTGTAGTAAAAAGCAGAGACATTGCTGACAAAGGTCTGTATAGTCAAAGCTATGATTTTTCCAGTAGTCATGTATGGATGTGAGAGTGAGACCATAAAGAAGGCTGAGCACTGAAGAACTGATGCTTTTGAACTGTGGTGCTGGAGAAGACTTTTGAGAGCTCCCTGGACTGCAAGGAGATCAAACCAATCTATAGTAAAGGATATCAACCCTGAATAGTCATTGGAAGGGCTGATGCTGAAGCTCCAATACTTGATGACCCAAAGAGCAAACTCATTGCAAAGACCCTGATGCTGAGAAAGATTGAGGGTGGGAGGAGAAGGGGACGACAGAGGACGAGATGGTTGGACGGCATCACTGACTCAATTGACATGAGTTTGAGCAAACTCTGGGAGATAGTGAAGGACAGGAAAGACTGGTGTGTTGCAGCCCACCGGATCACAAAGGGACAGACACGACTTAGCAACTAAACAACAACAAAGAATAGGCATATATACATGAATATACATAGGTATGTGAATAGACATGTAAGCAACCTAACGTCATGGCCACACTGTGTGTCAGTGTGAAGGAGGAAAAGAACAGGCTGAGCTTACTCCATCTTGAAAAAGAAGGAAACTCCATATTACACTTTCAGTGAACTTTGGACTATGCGCCTGGTAGCCATCGGGATAACATTACCTATGGCCAAACTGGACTCCCAGACTGATAAACACCAGATTCCAAACCAAGATTTCCCGTCGCCAAAAAGAATGCAAGAACCCCCTAGGTAGTCAATCACCTCTGTAATCTTTATGGCCCCCCTTGCTGTAGGCTACCAGCTGCCCCTTCTGATTATGAATCATGGCTGTAACCTGATCGTATCTCCCTTTAACACTCTCCAAGCTAGGGTTAAGGAATCTGGGGATGTGTGCTTGAGCAGTACACTCAAGATACATAAGGTTTTCACAAAAGTTGGTCAGGGTCCCGGGCTAAAGAGACTCTGCCTCCGACCGCTGGTGTACTAAACTGCGCTCCACTCTCCACGCTGTCCTCCTGAGGGAGTCTGTTTCCCGGAGCGTTTGACTACAACTGTTCAGACGTGTTCAATCTCCGCAACCAGTCTCCACAGGCTAACACTGTTTTCAGCCAGCCCTAGTCACAAGCTGAGCCCACAGCCACCGAGGCGCTGTCCCACCTACGTCATTCTCTTCACCACGGAAGCTGCCCGCCCACCTCCCCGGGCCTCGGGCCAAAGCTGCACCAGGCCGGGTGGCTATCCCAAGGCCCAGCACAAGGCAGGGCGCCACCCGGGCGAGTGCGCTCTACCAGGGCTGTCTGTCCCTCCCAGGGGTTGGTTCTGTGGGGAATAAGGTCGGGGGTTACTCAACTTGAGGAAAGTCTGACTGGCTAGCCCTGGGTTCTGTAACTTGCAGGACCCCAAAGAGCGGACCCCACAGCCACGCGGGAGAAGCAAGCCAAGAGGCAACACGCAGGCGCAGACCCAGTGCCGCGCGTCGGGAGGCGGGCCCGCAGGGGGGCGCGCACGCGCGGAGGCGCACTCGAGCGCCATGACGTCATCGGAGCGCGCCGGTGTTCGCCCTTCCCGCGGGGGTCCGCCTCACTGGCCCCGCCCCGAGATGCCCCGCCCCCTAGGCCCGCGGGGGCGGGGTGGACCCGACCCAGTGAACCCCTCGCCCCTTCTCGCAAGCGCGCGTCTCCCCGAGCTACGTAACCTCAGTGGCACCCGGCGCGCGTCCACACAGGAAGACCAAAGCGGCGTCGGTAAGCACTGACCTCGGGCCGGTCAGTCGTCTGTTAGGCCCACCTGCTGACAGACTGCGGGAGTGATTGACTTAGACACGACGACGGGCGGTCACCAACCTGCAGACCCGGAGGAACAAGGCCTACTTCCGACCTAGGGGCCGCTTTGGGGCCCGCGCTGGGGCGGGGCGCAGAGTGGGGGCGGGGCCTCGCGTCCGCGGGACCTGGTGGGGGCGGGGCCTTGGCGTGCCTCACGCTATGTCGGGGCGGGGCCGGCTGTAGTCACGCCCCTCACCGGGCAGGACCTGATCCTCAGACCAGCAGCGTGCGTGGTGGGTGGGCTTCTCAGGTCCGACAGGGTGAAGATGAAGCCTCGCAGGGCCCGGGCCGTCAGCGGGTCAGTTCTCTGACTTGGAGCAAAGTCTGGATCTCAGGATTCAAAGAGCGCTGACAACTGGAGCTGGAGAGTAAGACATAGAGACAGTGGTTTTGAAAGAGGCAATTTTGTAAATTAAAAAAAATCTGTAATCTATGGGTGTAATCTAGTCATCTAACATAGTCAATGAATGTTAATAATTCAGTGTCTCACCTAAATGTATTCCTTTCTAAATAGTAATTGACTCCTGTGTGCCTGACTGTGTTGTAGGTGCTGAGGATTCAACATTGAGCAGAGCAGACAGAAATCCCTGATGGAGGGAAATTCCCTGATGGAGGGGAAGGCCAGGCCCAAAAGGGTTGCCTGCATACTGGAGCTGGTGAGGAACGTGGCCAGTTGTCTGTAGACTAAATGAAAGAAGTGGTGCCCAACTGAAGGAGATAAAATTGAGAGCTGAGTCAAACTCCTGAGGAGAGGAAGGAAGGTCTAGAAGGACCTTCCCCCGCATTTCTCACCTGTGCTTGTCGATTTTGAGACACCCCACAAAGCTAAGTACAGCAGATTACCACCATACATGCACTGGCCCCCTCCTGGAGTGTGCTGGCCACAGTGGGGGCCTGTGGAATTCACTGGAATTATGTCATTGTCATTATTTTTTTACTTACCTGATTCACCTGGTCAAGTCCTTATCTTTCTTTCTTTCTTGGCCATGTGGCTTGTGAGATCTTAGTTCCCTGACCTGGGATTGAAACCAGGCCCTCTTCAGTCCTAGCATTTTCAACTTCCAAGTGGGGACACATTTTTTTTTTCCCTCCCTGCAGAACACCTAGTATTTCATTTGGTGTGGGCTTCCTGTTGATGGATTCTTCCAGTTTTTGTTTTTCTGAAAACTTGTTTATGTTCTTTATTTTTCAGGGACATTTTTCACTGGGTGTAGAAGTATAAGTTGGCTTTTATTTCTGCTAGCATTCTGAGGATGTTATTCCACTGTCTTCTGGTTTCCATGTTTTCTGTCATTCTTACTATTACTCCTTTGAAGATGGCATGTCTTCCTAGGTGCTTTAAGCTTTCTTCTTTATTCTCAGTCATCAGGTTTACTGTACTATGCCTGCATGTGTTTTTCCCTGTGTTTACCCTTCTTGATGCTCATTGTGCTTCTAGAATCTGTAGCTTGATATCTTTCATCAGTTTGGGGACAGTCTCAGCTCTTATTTCCTCATGCATCTTGGATGCTTCACTCTCTTTCTGCTCTTCATCTACAACTCAGTTAAAAATATTCTTGACCTTTCCAGTGAACCCCAGTATCTGTTTTGCTTTTTATTAGATTGTGTACCTTTTCACTCTGTTTCAGCCTGCATAGTTTCTTTTGACCTGCCTTCTGGTTCACTAACTCTATCTGTAGGTCTGCTGTCACAACTATCCACTGAGCTGTTAAGTTTAGTTATTCTATATGTCTCCTTAGAGTTTTCATTTGTTTGTTTTTGTTTCCAGGTCTCCCCCCACCCCAGATTTGTTCATCTTGTCTTTCATTCCTTGAGTACCTTTACTGTATTTCTTCTAAAGTCCTTGTCAAATAGCTCCACTATCTTCATATCTGTTGGGTCACTTTCTGTCTCCTGTTCCTTTGAATGCATCTTATTTCCTGATATACCTTGTTACTTTTGATTGAGTGTTGCACATTTAAGAACTTATAAAGACAGATTTCCCTCGTGGTCCAGTGGTTAAGAATCCACTTTCCAATGCAGGGGATATGGGTTCCGTCCCTGGTCCAGGAACTAAGATCCCACATGCCACAGAGCAGCTAAGCCCACGTGCTGCAGCTGCTGAGCCCGTGTGCTATAGAAGCTGCGCCACAGGAGAAGCCCCTGCGTGCAGCTAGAGAAAGCTCACGTGCTGCAGTGAAGAGCCAGCACAGCCAAGACAAACTGAAGTGTAGTTGATGTGCAATAGCATATTAGTTTCAGGTGCAGCACAGAGATTCAGTTAAACACATGCGGGAAGAATTTTAAGACAAATAAATGGAGAGTCATACATGTTCATTCACGGAAAAACTCAATATAGTGAAGATCTCAGTTCTCCTTAAGTTGATCTACAAATTAATTAGAATTCCAGTGAAAATCCCAGCAAGACTTTTTGTAGATAGAAACAAGCTGCTTCTAAAACTTACACATGGAGATGCAAAGAACAAGAATAATTTAAACAGTTTTGAAAAAGAAAAATAAAGTGTGAGAATCACATTACCCAACTTAAAATTCAGAGTGGATTTCCTTTAGAATTGGCTGCTTTGATTGCCCTGCAGTCAGACTTCACATGAGAAGCAACCTCCATCAAAGCAAAGATACGTGTCCTGATGTTAGTGGTGCTGTCTGGAGGGATGGTTGTTTGGAAAGCAGTCTGGCAAAGCTGAAATGATATGTGACCTTTGACCTAGAACTTTCTCTCCCAGGAAATCAGGCCATCCCACAGAAAGGAGGACACGGGGAGACTATTTTAGCTGTGCCTGCGGTGGCAGAAACGTGGGGTCATGCAGAGAGTGTGCTGGACTCCCACTAGCACGGCCCCAGCCCTATATGAGGCTGACCCCAAGCTCCAGGCCCTGGGAGTGCAGCAAAGAGGGCTCCAGGTGGGGAGAGGGGTGAAGAAGGAGGAGGGGCAGAGCCATGTGAAGTGAAGAGCCAGGTGTGGACCAGCGACAGCCCGTGTGTGCATAGGCCGAGTACGGCTGCTCGCGGGATGCCATGCAGATGCAGGAGGTGTGCCAGCAGAGGTGAGACACTGCTTCGCGGGCCTGTTTGGGGGTCCTGCTGGGCACGGAGGTGGGAGAAGTCACGGTGTGGAGGTCCACAATGTGAAGTCATAAAATGGAAGGGAAGAGGTGGATTTTGTTGCTGTTGTTTGCTTTTTTTTTTTAGCTGCATTGCATGTGGCTTGTGAGATCTTAGTTCCCCGAGCAGGGATCGAACCCAGGCCATTGGCAATGAGTGCCAAGTCCTAAACACTGGTTTGCCAGGAGATTCCTGAGGTTCTGGTCTCAGAAAGATCACACCTAACACATATCCACAAATGCACATGTGGATGGACACTTGTAATGGAATTAATGGAGACTGTGAGATCTGGGCTGGCGCAGGTGCGCCAGGGGCGGCCAGGGTCTCAGTGGAGCAGGGGACACTGTGGCCCCTAACTATGAGGATGATGTGGGCAGGAGGGGTGATCAGGAGCCTGGAGGGTCAGCCCTCAGATGTTGTGCCCTCCAGTGTCTGTCAAGAGGGGTCTGCTCCAACCACAGGGGTCTTTGTTCTGCTCAGGGGCCCTGAAAGACTTTAAGAGGAGCAGGGTCTTTAGAATAAAACCTTTATTTCCACAGTTAGTGTGTCTGGACACATATTAGTAGGTGGTTCCTAAAGGAAATCAGTCCTGAATACTCACTGGCAGGGCTGATGTTGAAGCTGAAGCTGCAATACTTTTCCCACCTGATGCGAAGAACTGTCTCATTGGAAAAGACCCTGAGGCTGGGAAAGATCAAGGGCAGGAGGAGAAGGGGACGACAGAGGATGAGATGGTTGGATGGCATCACAACTCAATGGACATGAATCTGAGCAAACTCCAGGAGATAGCGGAAGACAGGGAAGCCTGGCGTGCTGCAGTCCATGGGGTCGCAAAGAGTTGGACACGACTGAGCGGCTGAACGGCAACAACAAATGAACGCAGAGGAGTGAGGGACACCTAGGATGTCGTGGTTCCCGGGTACGGGGTGGCAGGGGAACCCACAGGAGGGTGCCACGCGGCTGAAGGTTCACGAGGGGCAATTCCGGATGCCTTGTGGATGGGTGCGGGGCTGGCCACCAGCATGAGGAGCAGCCTGGAGCCTCCTGGCGAGCGAGTCTCAGAAGCCGGTGGAGCACTGGAGAGGAGCCCCTTTGTCCCCAGCACCGTCCCCCACCAGCAGGCAGACACTCTGTCCAGGACAGGCTGCTGGAGGCCTGCTTTGCTCCCAGATCTCGGGCCAGGGGCCGGGCAGAGGTAGCTCTTGTACAGCAATACAGGACCTGCCAGCCCCCGTTTCCCCAAAGGCCTACGTTCGGAGACACCGCTTTCCTCAAGGAGGCTATAAGTGGAAAACTTGTCTGCAGCGCCTGGCTCAGCCTGACCCATTTCTGCCTCGGAGCTGCTGGTGTCAGCGTCAAGCCTCTGCTGGGCCTCGTAGACGCGGCACTTGGGAGGAGACACTCTTTTCCTTCTGTTCTGCGGTTTGAGGGAATGACCAGCGCGGAAGGACAAGGAGTCCGTGTGCCCAGGATTACCTCCAAAACAGACACTCAGGCAGCTCTTTGCCAGGACTCGCCTTAAAGTGGTCTAGGACGCAGTCTTGTATTCCTCAGGTTGTATTAGCACTTGTCGCCATAATTCTGTGTCATCGGGGGAGTTAGAAACAGGTTAGAGAAAATTTGTAAGGAAGAAAGGATGCACAGCTGGAAGGCGTGTCACATGCAGGCAGGTGACTGTTGACACGGGAGGGCCCACGACCTGGGCCTGTGAGGACACAGCCCCCGTGCCCCGAGGGGCAGCTGTGAGCGTCTGGTCCTTGCAGCGGAGAAATCACACACACAGGGTGCAAGGCGGGGGACTGGCCTTGGCAGGCCGCCTGGTTCTCTGGAGAGAATCCCTGCTGGGTCATGGCCATCACTGCCTTGCTGCCAACAGGTCCATGGAGGGGCTGGACCACACCTGCACCTCGTCCCCACTTAGGGGCTGCCCGGAAGGGGGCTGCCGTAACTTGTGTTTTCATTTCCCTGGGGTGCAATCGCAGGGTCGTGTTCTGTCAGTGAGGAGTCGCCCGGGGGCTGGGAGGGAGGGGCCGGTGCCCGAGGCGTGGCCCCGTGCTCTCAGCCGCTCCAGTGACTGTGCAGCGCGTCTCTCATGGCCCTGCGCTGCCCTCACTCTCGGCAGATGACGTGGGGCGTCTTCTCTGGCTTCCTCGCCCGCTGTGCCAGCCACAGTCAGCAGAGACCAATGGTGAAGACAGGCTGCCCAGCAGTGGCGAGGAGCTCAGACTGGTCTGGGCAGCAGCTCGTGCCTCAGCCTGCTGGCCCGCGACTCAGTGGAGAGACTGCAGCCTCCATCCCCGGGCTCCTAGGGGGCTGTCCTGCCCTGGGGTCCCTGAGCTGCGTGCCCACTGGAAGACTCGCTCGTGGGTTCCAGGCCCTTGGAAGGACCAGCTCCCAGGCCTCCTGTGACCTTCCTCCTCCTCTCTCACTCGGAGGCTCTGCCCCGTTCTGCCACCAGCCTCCCGACGCCCCAGCCGCCCACCATTTCCAGGGTCTCCGGTGACTCTTCCAGAGCACATGAAGGCTCTGCATTTCTGTTGAAGCACGTGGTTGCCTCCTCCTGTCATGAGCATCGTCATGTTGAAGTATGTCTAATTTCCTTATGATGTTTTCTTAGAACCATGAACTATTAGAGATGTTTCCCAGTGTATGAGGTTGCCTTTTGTTTGTATGTTTTTGTAATGATCAGCAAGAACTTAGTGAGGCCCCGTGTACAAGTCAGTGTCTTCTGGGTTCTGGACACACCCAGCAGAGCCCTCCCTGTGCACTCTGTTTTTGCTGCACATGTATTTTTGAAATGTTCTAAAGTTTTTATTGTTTTTTCCTCAGATATCAGATCACACAGACACATACATGTTCTCATAACCCTTTGTTACAATCGCAGGCCCATGGAGCACGTGCCTTGTGACCAAACAGGTTTGTCTCACAGCTTGGCAGGACCAGCTTCTCCAGGAAGCCCTCAGACTTTCTTCAGACCATACACAGGGCTGGATGAGGGTACCACCCACCCCTGCCCCTTATCAGGGAAGGATTCGTGGGGACTGTGCCTCCCTCCACCCCGTCTGTCTGCTTCCTGGGATGGGTGGGTCGGGGGCTGAGCCACCTGGGAGAACCACTGCTGAGTCTTCTCTGCCCGAAAGCTGGGAGAGCAGCAGGGTGTCTGCACGGGGCCCTTCACCCCACCCCTGGCAGGACTCCGTGGGGTTCACCTAGGAAGAGCTGCTGCCCCTGGTCCCCGGGTGACCTGGCCGCCAAGTCACAGGCCTCTCCTGGCTTCTGAGGGCTCGAGCTGAGCCTGGAGCCTGGTAGGGCTTTCGCTGCAGGTCTGAGTGGCCGGCCTCTGTGCCCACGAGCAGGACGATGCAGGGCGCAGCTGCGTCCAGCTGTCGCCGGGGCCAGGGCTGCCCCTGGGCCCCCGGAGCACCAACTTTCACGGACTGGGGCTGACTCGCGGGCTGCAACTCCGCCCGGGACAGAAGCCCGCCCGTGCTCCTCACACGCCCGGCCCCTGTGGGGTCAGGCCGTGACGGGCTTCCAGCTCCTAACTTGGTGGCAGAACCTGTTCCTCATGAGGCCTCACGCAGCATTTCCTCAGGCCCGCCCTTTCCCTCGCGTGTGGTCAGTCCTGGTGGCCATTGCGCACACGCTCAAGAGGCATGGCAGCCCCCGCTTCCACGTGTCCCCTCGGTCAGCCCCATCAGCGTGCATCGAGGCTTCTGTGAACTGGCTCATTTCCGTAGGACGTGTTGGTTATGACACACGGGACATCGGGGCGCCTCGGCCCTCTCAGTTTCCATGGGTTTGCGTTTGTTGAGGTTGTGAGAGGAACACGGTTGGGTCACGTCCCTTCCTGGGGCCCCATCTCCTGGCCAGCCTGCCCTCCCCCGCCCCTACTGTCTGCGTGTTGATCAAAACTGCTCTTATTTTTTTGTTTAATGTCTCCCTCAATCTTTATTTTTCTAATTGAAAAGTTTTAATTTCTTTGGTCTTCGCTGCCGCACGCAGGCTCTCCAGCAGCAGTGAGCAGGGCCTGCTCTTCGCTGGGTGCACAGCCTCTCTCATGGCGGCGTCTGCTTGTGGAGCCCGGCTCCGGGGCCAACGAGAGCTCCACCACCGTGGACCCGGCCTCTGTAGTTGTGATGCGCAGCCTAACTGCCCCGCAGCTCACCTCGTGGACTTCAGGGAACGGTGGGAATCAGGACAACGTTCCCAAGTGCTTCCCGGTGCCCAGTGCTTGAGAAAACTGCAGCTAGGAGTGGGGGCAGGCCAGGCGGGCAGGCTGCCTTCCTGTGTCTGGGGAGGAGGCTCGGACACCCGGGGAGACGTGGTGGCCGGGGTGCGCCAGGCCGGGGTGGCCGCTGTGCTGGGCCGCAGGAGGCAGCCGGGGCCCGGCCGAGCAGGACGCCACCTGTGGGTGAGGCCCTGAGTGTGGCTGCCCAGCCAGTTCCTGTGGGTCAGGGGCCATGCAGAGCGAGGGCTGTGGACGCGGCGCTGGCTGAGCTCACAGTCAACCCCTGTGCCCTCCCGTTTCCCTTCCGGTGGGGCCCCACCTGACGCCCCACCTGCGGGCAGAAGGGGCAGCAAGCGCCGAGCTCACACCCCAGGCCCCCTGCCCTCCTGGCCCTGGGTCTGGTCCGCAGCCCGGGGCACAGAGGGTCCGCCCTGGCCCTCCTGGCTCAGGCCCCAGCCCTTCCCGCTGGGGGGGCCCTCCTCTGAGCCCCGCCCTTGAGGACAGAGAGAAGGAGTGAGCTGCGGGAAGGTCTGCTGACGCCTGCCCTTCTGGGGCAAGCCTGGTGCCCATGCCGCCCTCTGCAGCCCCAGCCACCCCGGGACGGAAGGCGCACAGAACCTGGGGAGCAGCCACGTGGCACCAGGACGGCTGGGGAAGCCCTGCGCGCGCGTTAGAGGGGCGAGCACACCAGCTGCCGGTCACAGGCAAAGCTCCCGCTGATGCGGCTGGGACCAGGAAAAGCCTTTCTGAACCACACAGGGTCCTCCATGTGCTTACAGGAAGTGACAGATTCGACCACATGGGAATCAAGTACTCGCTTGGGGAGGAATACCCAGATCAAACTTAAAAGCAAATGTGAAACTGTGGGAAAATATTTCCAGTTCTAATGTCCTTAATGGGTGAGGAGTTCCTATAGATCAGTTTCTTAGAGGGCAAAAGGATGGGAAATGATACGAACAGTTAGTTCACGATAAAAAGAAAGACTGATAAAATATGCTTGTTCACCTCACTAAGAGATGTACAGACTGAAAGCAGAGCAATGTGGCCGTGCACCTCTCACCGCAAGGGAAGGTCTGCGGGTCAAGGAAACTTGGAGGGTTCTGGCCGGGCGTCCATGGCTACCACGAACACACAGCTGGAGCTCAGAGCACAGAGGAGACGGACGCATCCTCTGAGGCGGGAGGGGTAAGTGCTTGGAGCCCCCGTGCACCTGGGTGCATCGTCGCATCAGAGCAGGGGTGCCATCACTAAGGAACCCTAATAAGTCATTATGGATCCACTAAACGCACATCACACAGCCTGAACAAAGACTCACCCTGGAAGGATATGAGGAAGATTCTGAAGACTGCTAAGTGGAGAGGACACGCAGTCACGCTACGGGAGACATAGTGGACATGCTAGACAACTGTGGTGCACCACCTCCATTCTGGAAGCACAATGGCTGGACTCCAGGAGGGGGGCCCAGGGGTGGTGGGAGAGGACAGACCTCCCAGCTGAGACCACAGGGTGACACGACCCTCCCTCACAGGCAAGACACCTTCAAGGTAAAAGGCTCAGAACGATCCTGGCCTGTGACCTTGGGTCCCACCATGGGTTGGAATGCCAGTGACCCCACAGTTCTGCCCACTGCTGGCACCCACTCTGCTTCATGTCCGTAGGCAGTTGGAAGCCCCCACGGGTCTGTGATCCTCACTTGACTTCCTTGCTCAAACCCACCCAACCCAACCCTAGTCCATCATTAGAGACAAGGCACAGCTCCAGCAGCTCGGGGTCAGAAAGGTGAGCACCGTCGCCGCCTCGTGCCCTGTGGCCACGCTGGGGCAGAGGCCACCAGGGGTGGCTTCAGTCCCCTGGGCCCCAGCCAAGGCAACACTGCCCCCCAGCACCAACCATGGGCCAGGCGCATCCAGCCCCCTCAGCAGTCCGTCGGGGAGGGCTGCCACCAGAAGTGTCCATGTCCACGTGGGGAGCCTGAGGTCAGGGTTAGACACCCGGACCAGAGCAGGAGCCAGGGCAGGACGGAGGAGGGGCACTGGTACGGAAGGAACAGAGGGTCCGGGAGGATGGCGGGAGGAGGAGGTGACTGGGGAGGAGGAGGAAGGTTTAATGGAGAAGGGAGAGGGTGGGAGGAGGAGGAGCAGGAGGAGAGGAGAGAGAAGGAGGATGGGGAGCAGACGCAGGATGACCGAGGGGATGGAGCGGAAGGAGATGGGTGGAGGGATGGAAGAGGTGGGTGCAGCAGGATGGGAATGGGGTGGGGGTGGGGGAGGAGCAGGCCCAGGCTGGCCCAGGGCAGCTGCGCTGGCTTAGAGTGGGTCCCTGTGAAGGTTGTACCCAAGTGAGCCCCTGGTTTAGCTACCAGTTCCAGGGCACCTGAGGAAGCTGGGTGAAGCATGGGCTGGAAAGGACTGTACTGATTCAATTCAGAGAGCAAAGGCTTATGGCCAGCATCAGCGCATCCCCCGCACCGCTAACCAGCAGTGCGAGGGGCAGAGCGGGGGCAATCAGGGCAGGGGACCGGCAGGTCCTGAGGACAGGAAGAGAGATCGTGTCCAGGACCTGCAGGCCAGAGCTGCTCTGGTCACCGCCCCGTGCCTGGCGACACCCTGAACCTGGGACAGTGCCCTTCAGGCTTCTGGCCTCTGTGCTGGCCCTGACCTCTGAGCTGGGCCCCTTGGAGTTGGAATGGCAGTGACCTCACAGCTCTGCCCACTGCCCAGCATCCACTCTGCTTCACGTCCATAGTGTTTGGAGGCCCCATGGTCTCTGACCTGCTCTGACCCTCACCTGCCCAGTTCCCTCTCTCCTGCCCTGTCCATCGAGGAGGTGCATTTCCATCGAGGAGGCAAGAGGTTGGAAAGGTGTGCATCACCTCCTGTCTTGTGGCCAGACTGGGGACAGAGGTTCATGGATGGATGACTCAATCCTCCCTGGTTTTGGCCAAGGTGGCTTGGACCCGCTGCACTGACCCTGGGCCAGGCACATCCAGCCCCTCTTGGATCCATAGGGGGAGGGCTGCTGCCAGAGGTGCCCGTGTCCTTGAAAGGAGCCCAGGGTCAGACCTTAGACCCCTGACCCAGAGGAGGCGGGAGAGAGGATGCTGGAGGGAGAGGAGGTGGGTAGGTGAAGCCGGAGGGGGATGGATACGGCAGGAAGAGGGGTGCGGGGTGACATGGGGTGATGGCAGGAAGTAGGAGCGCTGGGGGGAGGAGGGAGGCGGGGAGAACAGAGCCGGGCTGAGAAGGATGGACAGTGGTCTGGATCGGGAAATGGGGAGAAGGCAGGAGAAAGGGTGGGGGTGAGGGGCTGGCGGGGGCAGTGTTGCAGCTGAGGGAGGAGGAAGGATGTAGGGGAAGGGGGTGAAGGGCAGAGGGTGGAGGAGTTGGGAGGCGGAGGTGTGACAGAGGGCCCAGGCAAGCGGAGCTTCAGCCACCCCAGGGCCCCACGCTCTGTCCGAGACCCTCCCGTGTCTCTCCTCCTGCCCCAGGTCAGGGACACGGGCTGCGCGGGTACATCTGCCCTGGGGGCCGAGGTGGGGACGCAGGGCCTCAGCCCTTGACCCTTGCAGTACCCTGACCCCGGTCCTCTCCATGCGTCTCACACACCCGAGCCGTTTCCCAACGGGCTGGGCCTCCTGTGCGTCTCCAGGCATGAGTGGACCCTCGGTGTGAACAGGGACGATGCGCTGTGTTCGGAACTGTGGACGAGAGACCCTCAGCTGCACAGGGCCCTGAGGTTGCACGCATCCTTCCCCGGGCCAGTGCCCTCCGGGTCGGCCAACGTGTCCCCTGGGCAGATCCCCAGCGAGAACCTGCTGCAAGGTGAGCTGAATGGAGGTGTGAGTGCCTTGTGTTAGAGCCCCCTGGCCCCCCGTCCCCGCTCCGCCTCCTGAGTGGGGTCTTCCTGGGGCGGGGGTTCCTGTGGAGAGCCCCAGGCCGCCGCCTTCAGGGGCTCCTTGGGCTGAGACGGTGGGAGTCTGGCTCAGAGAGCTTTCCTTCAATTCTCACAGCGCCAAATGTGGGTGTTAAAGCATCCCATTCCGTGGTTTTAGTGTATTCATGGAGTTACGCAGCCACTGTGTCCACATTTCACCACCTCCTAAAAGAGTCCCTAACTCATCAGCAGATTTGCCCCTTGCCCCTCCCCCAGCCCTGGACAGCACTAACCCAGCTTCTGTCTCTGTGGATCCCACGACGCGGGACGTTTCAGACCAGTGGCATCACAGAGTCTGTGGTCTCTTGTGTCTGATTTCCTGCACTGAGCAGCGTGGGCACCCACGGTGGAGCCCGGGTCAGCATTTCCTGTCCACAGTCCGGAGGGGCTGCTGTCACTCCCTGGGCTCACGTTGCTGGGAGGAGCCGCTTCGTGTGATCTGGATTTGCACGCGTCCAATGGCCTTGCTCTCTAGAGCTGGATAGACTTTGGAGAAAAGTCTGTCCATGTCCTCTGTCCATTTTCTAATTGAGCTGCTGCTTTTTATTGTTGAGTTAGGAGTTTTCATATATTCTGTATGTTATATTTATATATATGTATTCTGTATAATAGGCCCCTTATTAGATAGGTGACTCACAAATATCTTTATTCATTGTGTAGGTTGTCTTTTCATTTTCTTGATGGGGTCATTTGAAGCACAGAAGCTTTTCATTTTGATAAAGTCTACTTTATCCATTTTTTTCTGTTGCTACTGCTTTTTTTTCCTTAGCCGCACTGTGCAGCATGTGGGATCTTAGTTCCCCGACCAGGGATGGAAATTGTGCCCCCTACAGGGGAAGCGTGCAGTCCTAACCGCAGGGCCACAGGGAAGCACCCTGTCGCTCAGGCATCCGCTTCAGCAAGGCGTGCTCCCAGAAGCCTCAGGAGTGCCTGCCTGGCACACATCTGACCTCTCCTTTCCGCACACTCAGGGCCAGGTGCGTGGTGCGCTCTGCTGCGGCTCAGCTCTTCTCCTGGGCCTCCTGGCTCCCTTCCTGTTCCTGCACATCTCACTGTGGCAGGATCTCCCAGGCG